GCAGATAGTTACGTTTGTAGATGCGTTACACTAATTAAAAAGTCTACTTTAGAACTGCTGGTTTAAAAAACTAAAAAATAATTATACTTCTATGTCAGACAGATCAGATCTTCTTAAGATCCTGTATGCTTCTTCCACGTTGCATTAGAACATTTCTTAGGTGCAAAGAAGTCGGTTGACCAGCCCACTAAAAAACTATAACTCATCATAGAGGTAACTGATTCGACGTCGCTTACAGATTCCTTTCTAAGTGTTTTCACAGCAGCAGCTTTTTTTTTTCGTAGAGAGTTGGTCACGCTGTTGCACCAATGAGCGATATTGATGCCATTAATAATAACCGTATTGGCATTTTATAACCACTAAACCGGAACAAATTAAGTAGACTTTTAAATTAATGCAAACATTTATATAAAGTGTGTTTCATAAAAATAGAATTTTTGGATTTTTATAAAATGTCTTTAGCAAATAGAATTCTGACAGCCGATAAGTGAAGTAAAATTTGATTAAACCATTTGTTTTCAATGTAATTAAAAACTGATCTAATAGTCTAAATTTTTCACGGCACATTGACACTTTGTACTTTCTCAAAACTTAGGTTGTAGAATAACAGTGATAAAAATTTTTAGATGGTTATTGGTAAAGCTGGTATGTTTGCCCCAGATTTTTTCTTACTGCTGTTTTAAAATCTTTACCATTTACTAAAAGAACAAATCATTAAAATCTAAGGCAAATCTTTTTATCGTCAAGATTCATTCAACTCCGTTAAGTGACGGTCAAGACTTGCCCGCACTATCCATATGCAAATTACCTTGGCATTCCCAGAATGATTGAAGGCTACAAACCTCTCAAATCTTATTGCTTCTATCCTGTTTCCGTAAGTTAGCATTTTTTAATCGAGTTGCCGTAATGTCAATTAAAACAGGTATATTTTGTGTAGCTATATTACAGTAAACCAAAGTAAATCAGCCTAAATTAAACATTTTCTGTCTTTAAATTATCTGTTCTTTGACCACAGGTAGAAGTTAGGTCACAAGTTAAGCTGTAGTTAAGCTGTGATGTTACGGTATTACTCAAAAAAAAAAAATTTGTTTATTGTTCTATGACAAAGCAATGGTAGCGTAATTTATTGGTAGATGACAATTGTTGGACCTTGAAGTGGCAAAACGGTTAGGATGTTGGTAAAAAAAAACTTGTACTTCAAATCTTGTTCATTATTTTTTCTAATAAGTGCCAAAGCTATATGACAGTTCAGCATTTACAATTTTTTTTCCAATGGTCTTTAACTTTACTTTCTTGCTTCTGGTGAGAATTTTCATATTATAATGAAATTTCTATTCAAGAAATATTCTTATGCCTCATATGCTAATGAACAGTGCATGTTATATAAGTTTTCCTAAAATTTGTTTCAAATTAATTTAATTTTCTTGAAGGCGGTTAAAAGCTAATTGCTCTGCTTAATTTTTTTTTTTTTTTTGGGTTTCTCTGTCGAACTATAAGAAATGCTTTAAATAGAACAGTAGTTATCCATGAGGAATTTAGAGAAGCACAGAAAGTAGTGCTTTTTAACAACCTTCAAAACTTCTTTGGTTGAGCTGTGTAAAACTACAGGCCTAGTTTAAATAGTAATTTAATTTGCAGTAGTCGTACTTAGGCAAGGGTTGCAAATTTCTACAATGTGAATCCCGAAAATGAAGGAAAAATTAGTTATGCAATAACAACATTATGGGCTCCTCAGACTTTCAATCAAGCAGATGAATACTGTCAGACAAGGTTTGGTGGACAATTAGCTTCCTTCAAAGATGCAAGAGAACGAATTCTTTTACACAGTTAGTCTTGCTTTTCCAAAGAATAACATTGTATGTATCAGTCATTGGTACTTTATTTACTAAAATATAACTGATCAACGCTAGTCATAGACGTTAGTTGGCAGCTGAATTAATACAATAAAAAATTATCGGGTAAAATCTTCTAAATATTCCGTCAGAGTGTGACAAATAGTGCTAATTCTAGAAGCGGTTTTCCCATCTTTTGATGAACGCAGTCATAAATCTCTCGGTTTCTTGGTCGGTTTGAAAAGTTACTTTCATGCATATCCAATTTTTACGGACGGCACAGACGGCTCTTACGGTTTTAATCGGTCTGAAACAGAAAGTGACAAGCTTCCACGCTGTCATGGAATAGTGCGAAGCTATAAATACCCGATAGGTTTTTCTTTTTCTGAGCTTCCTCTGAAGAGACTTTCAAGTTTAACTGTCTTTCCAATAAAGTAAAGTAAAAAACAAGCTACTTCTTTTTAAACAGCTATAAAATTGTGCTGTTTTGCCTTTGAAGATTTTTTGATGAGAAGAATTTTTGCATATTAAACTTGAATAATTTTCTTTTCTTTTAGATTCCATGCAAGCCGTGAAATGCACTCATTTTTTTAAATTTGTTTGCAAGGGTAGGATATTTTCTATACCAAAAGAGGTGCAGAAATACATGGTTGATGACACCACTAAACAGGCAGGTTATTCGTCCTGACTAAATGTACAAAAAATTCTTGTTGCGAGATGTTTCAAGCCATTTATGACTACAGTTGTGTTCATGCATGATAATTTTTGAACTGTTGGTTAACTTTAGACAAGTTTCTGTAGTTCAACTAAGAAAAATTTTTTTTTATTTTATTTAAATATTCTGATTGGTCTTTATTCTTCAGGTGAAGGAAGAAGCAAACAATACCGGAGTTTACTGTACGAAAAAACTTATGAGAACTTATTACACTCTTTAGCTTCTAATTTTACTTATATGTCAAGTATTCAGAAATGAAGTTACTTATAAAAATTCGAAAAGTTTATAAAAATAAAAAATGCTTTTTTTTGATTCTACATAGCTTTTTTTGGCAGTACAGTAACTTTGTCAGAAGTTCGACTGTATTAAATAAAACGCCGAAGATTTTATCCTTTGTGACAGTCCTATACAGCTCTGCTTTGAACAGTCTGCAAAGCTTCAATTAACTTTAGCTGGATAGGCTCAAATGTTAAAAAAATTGTTATTCGGACTTTCTGCGTTTCAGATTCAAACGATATTTGTGAAGAGGAAAGGGAATTACTGTATTTCTTCCATGCCACAAAAGTCGTTGATATAAGAGACGGTTCATCTTATTGTATTCATGATTTTTTTGTATGTTTTATGATTTGCTTTTAGAAGTACTTTTATAAAACCTTCCTTGAAACAGTTGGAGCACTTATTAACACTTGTTTGACTGCTTATTCTCATATGAGGGAAGACTTGTTTTTAGTCTTACTTTTATCTTGCAAAAGTTACAGTGCGAACTTATCTACGGTTTCAGAAGACAGCCGTGATTTTCTTCTTTTTAGGTATCTCGTAAAGTGCACATTACAGATTTTCAAGAAGCTGAGGAACTTTGCAGAACTCATCTTGGTGGTCATTTACTTTCAATTTCAAATTCTGAAGAACTTCGCTTTCTTAGTGGTACGGTGACTTCTTGTATAAATCAACGATCTTTTTCACTAGCGACGTTGTTATCCTGAACTTTCAGGTTTGCTTTTTCCACCTCTAAATGGAAGTATGGTTGAGCTTGAGCTGAGACCTCTTGGTCTGCATTACAGCCATGGCGATATCAGTAATTTTACTGATGGTTCTAATGGACTGTATGCTATCAAGGAAGGTTATAAAGAGAAGAACTCACTAGACTTGCTTGGAAAATGCTTCGTATTTGTCCACTTGTACAACGAAAATCGAAGTATTTTGTTACTTTTTTAAAACTTTTAGAGGAACTTATATTTTTTAATACTTATTATATATTCCTCATCTAAGTACTGTTTATAAATTTTAGGAAAAATTGATTTATTTATCGCTCTTTCCTACTCACTTCTCCACAAAAACCGTTCTTTACTTAATTTGCTTCAACGTCTTTTCCCTAATTTACTCTGCATTCACCCGGTTCTAGGTGCTATATGGAGGTCTAACTGCAAGGCAGAAACGGTATACAAAAGAATCACTTGTAAAGTTAGAAATGAACCAATAAGTAACGGTAAATCCAAAAGATTCGCTGCTTCAGTAAGTTCACTCTTTAAAATCGTGACAAATCCGAGCCACCTTTTTAAAAACCTTCTTTTCAATAGGATACAAGTAGTAACAGTAAAATTTCCTTACTCTTTTTCTTACGAAATGAGTTCCACAAAAGCGGAGTAGAGCGCTTGTAATGATGGACAGTTGGATCACTGCAATGAGAGTTCCTATACGTATAACGACTTATCAGTATGTAGTAAAGTTACAGGTTAAATTGTGATTTTGATAGGTGCTCTGTTAGTTTTTGAAGTTAACAGTTCTGACAAATTTACTATAATTATTATGCACTGAGAAATCCGCAAATTTTCAGGGAATTGGGCGTGATAGCACACAGTCTAAAAGAAATTGTAAGTTGTTTGGAGGCTTGATTTTTAATGACATTTGGACGGAGTATTTCAAGTTCAGCGCGCTTCTTTCTATAAGTCTTGTCAATTATTTATTTTACCTTCATTTTTCCTTTGTAGGGGAACAGTTTCTTATAATGGGATCTATCGGTGCTGTTTCTGGGCTAATAATTATAGCACTCTACATTTCAAGGAGTGAAAGATGACATGAAGAAGATTATAGTAAAAGTATTATAAATAAATGCAGTGTTGTTTTTTCAGTCTGATGACATTTGTTGGATGTTCGTAAAGCTGTTTGGATTATTTTATCTTATCCTCCCAAAACTTTAAGTTCTTATTCTTGCATAGAAATTGATTACGCTTTGACAGTGGCCACAGTCGATTCGGCTAATAGCATAAGTTATTCACTAAACTGCTTCTTGTCATTGATGAAGTTCTCTGTCCTCTATAAGTTCCACTATTTACATTCCATCATTTTACTGAACTCTGCAGATGATCAATTCAGTTTTATTCACTTTCTGTTAATGCATCTCTTCTAAACATTTGCCCTCATTTTAACGTGCAGCTTTTGCCATCGCCTGAAATAATATTTTACTGTAGCACAATTTTTACCAGCGACTATTGTATAGACTGTTCACAAGTTCTTTCGTGATGTTGTCTACAACAAATGTAAAATAAACATTTTTAGCGGAAGGTGATGACCATGAAGTTGTTTTTTTTTGCCCTGTTGATTGACGACTGATAAAGCATCCAACAGAGCTACATAACTGAATGCATGTGCACCAACTCCGAACATTCGCGAAAAAAATTGCTCGAAGCAAAAGACTGCTGAATTTGTTTTATCAGGAAACCTTTGCTTTGGCAAACTAATTATATCTTTTCGGTTTATATATTTCCTTGAAATCTAGAATTATCAGAAGATTTTGCTTAGTCCTAGTTTAAGGAGAAAGTTCTTGTTAGTTGAAGTGAAATAAAGCTTGGGTTAAAATACTTGACCACCGAGGATTGGTTTTAACGCTAAAATTTGGAAAACCAATTGTTTACCATCAAACACAACAAGGTTCTACCTACAACGCACAATTTGTATGCCTTATACATCGTTTCTGCACAAGTAGAAAGATGCGAGAAGACTTCAAGAAGAACCTTTAACAAACCACTTACGCTACTGCGTTGTAAAATAGTGTTTTAGAGGACCAAAGTTCCAGAAAATTCAGCATTTTTTGTGGTATCATTGTTGTCTGCACAAATTAAGAGCCCAAATGCTGATATCCCCTTTTACATCAAATATTTTAGTCAGACCACGCAATTCTAAGCTCCCGCACTCTTGTTAGCCAGAAGCCAGTAAAATAATTTCATTCTGAAAGGAGGCAAATGAGATGGCAAATCGTCAACAACAATTAAATTTTTTATTATTTTTAGTGCGGAAACTTATTTTTAATGTGATCATTTGGGAGCTTCTGAAAGCATAAAGAAACAACAGTTGAAAGGTCAGGTCATAAAGTCTGCCTTACCTCTTAATATTCGTTATCGCCTGTAGCTTCGAATTACAGAGCTCATACAATAAATTATTTTAGCAGTAGAAAGAAACAAGACTGTAAATCAGAAAATGTGAGTCGTTGTTAAAGGTACCTAGCTCTTAATTTTCAATAATAGAGACTAACTAGTGTTTTTATTATTTTTAGTGCGGAAACTTATTTTTAATGTGATCATTTGGGAGCTTCTAAAAGCATAAAGAAACAACAGTTGAAAGGTCAGGTCACAAAGTTTCGGGAGTAAAGGTTCATAAACTGAGGCATAATAAATTTTGGAGAGGGATTTAGAGGCTAGTTGAAAAGATGATCGACCTGACGTGAAGCAGTTAATGTTCAAGTTTTCGTAATTATTGCACTATTTTAGGTATATTGTAAAGGGTACTGCACTTTGCTAAATAAATGCTCAATTATTTAGAAGCTCAAGTTGAAAAAGAGACTTTAGAAAAGTTGGTCACTTTCTAGCCTAAAACAGTTTTTTCCAACTTTTTGGCAGCATTAAAATGTAGCGAGTGAAATAATGACAATTTCTGTTGTAACTGTAGCTAAGGTACTTCAGTAAAAGAATCCAAGAAAGTATAGATCCGGCACGTAGACTCCTACTGTTCAACATTCACATCAAGCACTTGAGGAACCGTCATCAATCACCGTATTTTAGTATATTCTACTACTTAACTGAATCAGTTGTACTCTCCCTGTAGTCACCATAAAGTTCTTCTTATTTTTAACAAAGTGTTGAGCTAGCAATGAAACTAGGAGTCTTTTGAGATAGTAGGTGCTGCTTTTAATTTGATCTTACTATGTTTAATTCATTCCCTTCCTTCAAATTTCTAAATGCACTGTATTCCTTCTTGATTAAAAATTTGGTTTCAAATTCTTTTACCACTGTATTTTCTGTATATTCTGAGGCATTCTTTACTGAATTTTCAATTTTCAGTGAATTTAAATCGAAATTTAGTTACCACTGGCTACAGTTTCTCAATTTTTAAAAATCTTTAAGACGGCTTATCTCCGTTAGTTCTCCTACCGCCTATTATGATATGATTACGACAGTTCCTTCAGTTTATACTACTGGAGTTGTTTGAAAGCAAAATGATGAACTATATTGAAGGCAATATTAATATTTGAGCTGTAAACTTGTCAAAAAGCAAACCACATGCAAGCCATATCTCAGAGTGTTTGTACAGGAGGAAGTAGATTAAGTTTTTTTTACCTAAAATTTTTTAGGCCTTCAGTGGGAAAAAACTGAAGCAAACCGTCTGTAGCACTGGTTCAGTAGTGATGGTTCTTTTGATTCTTCATTAGAACAAACAGAAACTAATTGGAAAAAAAATAAGGAAGTTGGTTTACAATTACGTCTATATCAACCTTCTCACGTCTTGGTTGGTTTTCTAGATGTAAAAGGGGTTCTCAAAACAGAAGACTGTTTTAATTAGTCTTTTTTTAACACTTGAATTTATTTTTATAAAACTCGACATAGTGAATAATCTTATAGTGGAAGCTCGTTTCAGTGCCCTATCTTTTTTTTTGACTTAATGAGAACGGCAGATCAGTGCAGTATGTGATGGCAGGTTGTATACGTACCCTTGAAAAATGAAGAGGAAAACGAGTGTGAAAAGGATAAAGAAGGGAAAGAGAAAGACTGTTTATTTGAGGAGAAGCTTCTGGCAGATAAAATATGGAGATATTGGCGAAAGGTTAGAACCTACTGTAAAATTTATCCCTTCCTGCATAACAAAATTTTATTCATCAAGACCTGCCTAGAAGGCCGTGAAATAAACCTCTGGCACAACTAAACTGATTGCTGAAGGAATGAGTGGACTACTAGAATAGCTTCTCCAGCAACTTCAATTTAACAAAGTATCATTAACCTTTTGTTGTTCGTAGTAAAAGAAAGGTGAACTAATCGGTTCATGAGTTACCACTAATCCTCGCAAGTCCTTATCAACTAAGGTTAATTGATTTCTAAATTAAATAAAGTTGCTTAGACGGTATTTGCAGCCAGCACCAACAGAGACTGATCTTGTTTCCGGAAATTTAATAGCCACCTCTGTATAAAACAGCCAGTAAGTTTATCCTGCAGGAAATATAACAGTTACCTGTGCAGGAGCAGAGAAACTACAAGAAGTGACTGGTTCATCCTTGCTACTGTCTTTTACAGCAGTATTTTACCAAAGAAGTCAAGTTTCCTATATGTTACCGTTTTTCTTTTTTTTGCAATATCAGCTGCTGCTTGCGAAATCTCCTCTGCAAAACCAACACTTGTCCGTCACCTGCCAGACTCGCAGTTTACTGGGCATTTCAAATACGTGCCGCAACTTCGTCGACAATGCAGTTTGGCTGGGCTCCAATCACGTGGATACAGAGATTATATGCCGACAACCGTTTTGGTTTCTATAGTGATCTTTGATGTTGTACGCTTCTGCAGCTATTTTTTTACAGTTGTAGTAGGATATTTATCTTATGCTCAATGCTGTTGTTGTTGATAATTCTTTATTCTTTTTTCCGTCCTCTATGCATTAGTTCCGATATATGTATTTGTATTTTAAATAAAACTGAATTGGAATCTATTCTCTCACGTCTGATCAATCATCTTTGGCATGTCATAAATAATCATTTTCATGAAAGGTGCCAGTCAAGCATCTTTGAGTTTCGAGCACTGATATGTTAAAGTTAATCTTCTGTTTTTAAGATTTGTTGAAAAAAGTTTTGCAGTTTTTTTTTCACTTGTCACCTACCTTTTTCAAAGGTACAGGTTTTATGTTAATCAAAGCGGTTTGGAGAAAGTTGTGAAGTCCTGCCACATTTGATTGACTACATTACTTTCTGAGATTCATTTAATTTATTGGGTAACTATGTCGAAAGAAGTAACTGCCGGTAAATCAAAAAAATAGCAGAGGTAGAGGAGAAGCAAGTTGGAGATTTTTTTGATGGTGAATGACGATGGATTTTGGATCTCATCTTGGAAGCCTTTGGCCGATATTTTGGAACAACTAGTCCTGCATTTGGAGAATTTGATTTTGAAAGATTTCTTTGCAGATTCTGCTCTGTAAAACTCCTTTTTGAATTCTCTTGTATTCACTTTTTTGTAGTTTGGTCGTGCCTGCTCTTGAATGTGCTCTCTTTATTGTTAACCTACAGTCTTTTTTTCTGTGCAAGGTTCTCGACCTCGCCTGGTCCATCTGTAGAGATTTCAGGGTAGTCGAGGACTTCCTAACTTCTCAGCAATTTAGTACCGATTTGTTGTTCTAGCTCTCATGTCTTTTAACAACGCCATCTTATAGGTACTGCATGGTCTAGTAGATAGTGATTGTAGTATTTTATTGTGCACCACTGGTTTGAATTTCAGCTGGAGTTTACCTGTTATCTGTTGAGGACTTGTTTTACTGACTTAGCGACTCTTGATTCGACCATTTTGGTAATGCTCATCGTTTTGTCAAAGGGGTAGGAAACAGGACCAGAAGTGGTTTTTAAGTTTATATTTCAAGCGGAACGACTGCTGGGTTAAATCACAAATGAAACAGCCGAGTTTGTTTTGGCGTACATATTAATGTGGATTCGGGGAAGCTCTTGTTCAAAGCTTCTTTGGTCATTTCATACTGTAAACGAGTCACTGGATTTTATGTACGCAGCTAAAACGCTGCATTCACGTGGGTATTTTGGATTGACCAGGAAGTAGTCAAGAGTCTTGACGACTTTGAGTAGGCAGTTTTTATAAGAGACACATTTGAAGCTTTTAGCTTTTGAAGAATGCGACTACGAAGTATCTTTTCTACCCGGTAAACCACCACCCAGCTTTACAGTGGTTTTTTAGGACGCTATAAGAGTTAAAGCGACAGTTGGATGGTATCTCTTTTTTAAGTTAGAGTGTGTCTAAACAGGTCCAAAATTGTCCGTAGTGAAATAGGTAAGCTCAAAAGTATACAAAAAACTAAAGTAATTGAGCACTTGAAAAAATCTTGTTTGGATTTGAACAATTTTGAATTCAGTAGCGTTTTGCTTTTTTCCGCCGTCATTAAATAAACTGTTGAAGTAATTCAGCGTTAAATGGTGCTGAAAATTAGTGGTGAGGAAGACGTTATAGAATATTTAGTTTTTCAGTAGTATGAAGAGCTTCGTAACTGTGGTTTCAAAACAACTAGCCTGTACTTTCATTGGTTCGTTTAATGGTTAAAAACTTTTCCAGAGTGATAACAATGACTATGGTCATATATAAGAGTTTTTGATGGTAGTATAAGCAGAACTGTTTAACTTTATAGATGCTATTGTGTGTTGTTGCAGTTTTGCTCATTTGGCTTCCGTCATCTTGACTGTAACGCAGCTTTTGTTGATGACAGTGATCGGAATTTTTATTGGCAAGAAGTCCATGCGGACTGTCTGACTATTCAGGTGCTCGGCTCAAATTTGCTAAGAAGTTGTCATGTTTTTTATGAGGATGAACAGTAAAGGTATGTATTGGATGTTGGAGACGTGACTTTCTTTGGTCGTTCGTTTTTTCTCCAATTTTTGAAACTTTTATATATTTGTGTTTGATATATAATTTCGCATCCAAAATGCACAGTATTGTTTTATTGGGTGTCGGTTAAATTTAGAGCATGATTATATGTTTTAATGCAGTTCAGTTCTACTGGACTCAAAAGTACATACCACGTTCATTGAACACTGTTTCACGAATTTTTGTGATAAAACTGTTCTGTCTTCCTCTATGAGCAGAACATACTTTAGTTACCAGCAATTTTGTTTTTGTTGCAGTTTTTTAAATGACAGCGCCAGCAATAACTCATATCCAGTGCTGGGACGGTAATACTGATTTGGAAAATTTAAAACGATGTATAAAACATGGGCATCCTGTTCTGGTACTTATGCGAGGCGTCCCGGGTTCAGGAAAGTCTTATCTGGCGAAGTGCGTTTTGCTGTAGGTTACATATGGTCAGAGATTTTTATGTAAATAATATTACTAAGTGGAGCTTCTGATTTGGAACTAGCTCCTTCACAGCTACTTCAGAGTTGCAGACAATTTAGTGCATGGTTTCAAATAACTTGGTATTTGGGGTTGATGCTAGTATTCCTGAATGAGGTGAGATGCTCTGTCCTCTGTGATTTGCTCATAAGTAAGAATATTTACATACTGTATCAAAAACCTTTTTTCCAGAGAGCTAGTCGCTAACTCTCCAGGAGTCATTTTGTCGGCTGATGATTTCTTTATGGAGAATGGGGTTTACAAATTTGACCAGTCACGGCTTCAAGAAATCCATAGAAGAGTTTTAAACAAAGGTACCGTTCACTGAATTCCGTACTTTTACTTGGACCAAAAAATTTTCGTTCATTTTTTTCCAAACTTAGTTGTGTCCTTCCGATGCGAAAGCAGCTATTTTGCTTCGTTTTTCAGGATGAGTCTTCTGGAACAATTTAGTCTGTATTTATTAAGTTATGATTTGGATTTGTGTTTGTTAATTTGTAGTTTGGGCTCGTACTTGTAAAATTATAGAAATGTTTTTTTTGCAAACATTTCAACAAGAGGACCTACAGATTTGTTCATTTATAGCAAAAGCAGCATTAGCAAATAATGTGAAACCTATCATCATCGACAATACGAACATTTTTGTGGCTCATATGAAACCGTATGTCACTCAGGTATGTCTAAGCTGATAATATTTTTCCATGAGCACTACTAGGTTTTTTTGTTAGCCTCTTTGTGACAGAAGAACTGTTTTTTAGGGTCTGAGACATCAGTATGAGATTTATTTCGTAGAGCCAACTACAGAATGGAAGAATAAGCCGCAGTTATGTGCGAAGTTGGTTCAAGTTTCGCTTGCTTACTTCTTGTTTTTCTTTTTTTTTCTTTGGTATTATTTATGCTTTTTGACAGTGAGGAAAGAAAGAATATTTTTTAGTCGCTACTTTTGTGGTTCGGTTAGCGTTCTTTACCTTTTTTTTTAGAGCAAATAGCCACGGAATTCCGGCGGAGAAAATTTCTATTTTATTAAATTCTTTCGAACCTATTTCTCTTGCTGCCGCAATAAAACCAGCTCAATTAAAGTAAGTATGGTTTAAAAAAATGTTGTGCTTTATAGAAGTATTTCAACTTTCTTTTCAGACTAATGCCTCCCGATGCTGTAGATTTGGAAGAAGATAATTGTACAAGGAAACTGGAACAGCTTTCCATCTCTATAACCCACGGTGTATTTAGTCATAGATAATAGTTTGTTGTATTGCTCAATTAGGTTCTCGTGTTGGCGCTTTTGGCCTTTAGCAGTCAAATATTTATTTATTATTGTTTCTCTACCAAATATGCTGTCTGTTAACTTTTTTAAATGAGGAGTCTGAAAAATTTTTTGATTTTTAGACAAAAAGCATTTTCATTTGTAATAGTGCACATAAACTTACTGTTACAAAATCTTATAAAAAATTGTCTTCCGGTGAAATCTTGGTCAGGCTTACTTCTGCTACTGAATTTGGTTTAGTAAAAGAGTTTTATTTTGCCTAACGGCTGACAGACTTTTGTTAGTTCAATTGAAGTAAGTAATGTTGAAGATGCTAGCATCGTGAGGGATGGTAGCAAAGTACGCGAAAGAGTTGTCGGACATGAGATGAAGAGCGCATTAGGAGAGAAGAAAATTGTTGAAGGTTGTGGTTTCCAAGCTAGCAATGCCTGCGGGGGTTTCGAAGGATCATGTTCTGCTTCCTCAGATCTGAATAATGCGCAGCTGTTTTCGCTTCTCCCAGATTCACAGGTTCTTTAGCTATTGTTAATTGCTTATAATGATTATTTAAAGACTAGAAGTGAGATGTTTTTATCTTCTCAAAAAAATTTCAGATTCAAGCGCTGGCACACCAATCGACTGGTACGCAGACAAACGATATCATAAGGACATTGTTTTTGAGAGGGGTTATGGCGGTCGACACACTTTTAGCAGCCGTTATGACACGATCTGAGGTTTTCTTAGTGATGCGTCCGAGAAGTACACGTGGCTTAGAAGTTAAAGAACGGGGTTCTCAAACAGCGTAATGGTTCTCTTTATATGGTTCTTACTCTCACTAGTGACAAAGAATTTTTCAAATTTTTGTTGCAGAGCTAGTCCATTACCAACAGAATTGGATATTTTGTTATCGATGTTTCCTTTGGAAGCTCCGGCTGATTTACTCCATTTATTAGAGACCTGTGGTTTTGAGAATGCCGTTGGAATTAACTTTGAAATGCATTCACATTTTGACCTATTTGCTAATGCAGTGGAGGTTGGTACGACCCAACTTCAGCGTTTGCTTTCACAAGTCATTTTTTATAGAGAAATAGCAGCGTTACATTTTTTTTTGTTTTTAAATAGAATTAGAAACAATTTAATGTTTCACACGTAGCATCGGCAATGATTATTCATCATTTTTGAGCGGCTCTTTTTTTCAGATTTAACCTGTTCAATTCTGTTACTATGTACTTAATAAAATTTCTTATCTTCATTATAGTGTTTTAGGAATCTGTTTCTGAAGAAATGCTCCAACTTTCAAATAGTGTGAACGTGGCAGATGATAGCGTCAATGAAGATCATATGAATATGACTCAGCAAACGACAGGTTTTCATGAAGGTTCTGATGGACCAGTGTTACATAGGGAATTAATGCCTTCTTCGTTCAAGCAGCAATGTCTGCCTGAGCCGGTTAAAGACGGGCACCAGAGAATGGAGCTTTCGCTGGATATGATTCAGAAGCTCTCAGACCTTTTTGGTTTGTTACATGTAAATAATTTTTATAAATAGGTTCTTTTCCAAAATTGATGAGAATTTTGACGCATTTCCTGGCTCCCATTTAGACTGGTGGCCTCATCATGCTGACTGGCTGGAGGGAATGATGGCAATCAAAAGTCTGTTTTTTTTTTTTTTTTTTTTTTT